TTTAAAATTATTTAGACCTTGGGGCATTCTTTTTTTTGTCATTTAAAGACTTCTCAAAAGTCTCGAGATATTGGGGTACTACAATTTTGGAACCTAAAATTATGACATAACATACTTAGAAAAATTAAATTTATACCCAAAAAAATATCAAGAAATAATGTAAGATATTTATTAAGAATAAAACATTATAAAAATTAAATATTACAATATTAAGGGTGTTGAATACCCTTTAAAAAGTTTCCTTAAACTAAGCAGTGAGTTTTGGGAGTCTTACTAAAAGTATTAGGTTTGAAAAAAGGTATTCAAAGCACTGGATAACGAGATAAATGAATTATGTTTTATCCCACTTTAAAAAATGAATCTTAATAATCCTAATTTTCGCCAATTAGTGTATTCTATAGTGTGTGATCAGAAGATAAACTTAGTTTATGCATTTTCGATTCCTGGACTTTTCTGCCCGTGTGAATCATGAGCATTAAGCATAAAACCGACATTTAGCTGATTGATCTTAATAAGAATTTGTGCGGCAGGGCGGAGCACTCGGGTGGAGGACTGCTAACGGATCCCTGAGACGGGTCAATAACATTGTTGGGATGCCTCCTCCGTCCACCAAGCTTGCCTCCAGCCCCGAGTCCGAATCCGAGTCCCGATTTCGAGGGCGTTGCTGGGCTGCGCCTGCGCAACATAACAAACTTTGTGTTTGTTTCCCTTACTCATTTCTTGTGTGCAGTTTTTAATAACTCAGAGTCAAATTTTTGGGGAATGAGAAGGAGTTCTGGAGTTCCCCTTGTCGGAAATCGGAGCTTGAATTTGGTGAGTTATGGTCTTTAAAATTCCCTTTTTCCCGATTTTTGGGCTTGTATCTCAGATATCTTACGATATCTTGCCTTTTAGATGATATATCTGCGATTTGCAGAACGGATGTCTGTGCTCGATTGTTAATTGAAATTTGTCGCCAAAAACCCGCAGAATTTGCAAAACAAATTTCTGACCGAACTGTCTGGCCTGTTGCATATTTCATATGTTTTGATTCTTGTCTAAAGCTGTAGCTTTATGCTGATTGCTCTGCAGATTTATGCGCAAGTGCTTAATCGAGGGGTGGTGGCAATGATGGGCGGAAAAACTGTGCCAAAAATCAATAGAACCCTTTGTTTGTAAATAATATGTATATACAATGGATTGTTAGAATGCTACACACTCGTAAACTTTCTATATACAAATACCAGCGACATTCTTATAACCTTTAGAACAGAAAACTATTTTGGATTTATGGAAAATAAACTACATTTTAAATCAGATGCAAGGGTTTTAAAATAATTATTTTTGATTTATGTGAGTGAGAGAATACCATATATTTCTCTAACAATATTATTACAAACAAACAAAAACGCCATAAATCAATTCACTTTTATTTGACTTTCCAGCTGCATTTGATTTTTGCTCTCATGGTGACTATATTGCGCAATATCTCCTTCGCTCTGTCGACGTCTAGCAAACAAATTAAATCAAGTTGCAAAATCGAAAAAGAAATAAACAAAACCTGAATTTTATGTCTGCAATTCAAATTAAATGCAATTTAACTGAAATTGATAGAAAATTTCAAATGAAACCAGCCAATTCTGTCTGGTCTTCTTTTTAAAAAGCACTTGACAGCATCTCTTTCCTTTGATTGCCTTCACATCGTCCTTTGAATATCTCAAATTTCGTCTAGCTTAAAGTCTACGCTTTTAAGGGGCTTTTAGAAACCCTTGGGCTTCTGTTTTGAATTTGGGGTTCTCCTGTCTGCTCCCTGTCTGCTTTTCGTGGTCCCTTTGTGTTTTGGTTAGATGTTAGTCAAGTTCTGACCTTTTTTTATGATGTTTGGGTTAGTCTGCCGAAATTCTGGGTCTTTGTTTTGATTTCGCATTTCGATATCATTTTTCGGCATGTGCGAAGGGGACGAAGAGTGACGGGGGTCGCCCTCTGAATTCTGTTTATATAATGGCCGGAATTTATAGAGCTGACAATGGATAGCTAGTAAATAATTAATAACTCATTTATGCAATTAAATCAATTGACTTGCATGTAAAAGTAATTATGGATAGTTTTGTTTTGAAAGTCTTCATTATCTTAGTCTTATCTTAGATTACCTATTCTATTACAATTTTATGAGTACGATTTCTATTATATTAACAGATAGAACCAATTATCATTGATGGCCATACTGCTTTTTTGATTGTGTTTTCTATCAATTAACACAACATTGTCCGTCAAATTGATATTTTTTGTATTATTAAAAGCCCATCTACTTGAACACCATTATCAAAACCCTTGTAGCTTTTATTTTACTCAAAAACGTAATAAATCACAAGAATAGCATTCTTAAATTTTTATACCCTTGCAGAGGGTATTATAATTTTGGTCAAAAGTGTGCAACGCAGTGAAGGAGACATCTCCGACCCTATAAAGTATATATATTCTTGATCAGGATCACCTCCTGAGTTGATATAGCCATGTCCGTCTGTCCGTCTGTCCGTCTGTCCGTCTGTCTGTTTCTACGCAAACTAGTCTCTCAGTTTTAAAGCTATCGGATTGAAACTTTGCACACACCCTTCTTTCCTTTGCACGCAGTATATAAGTCGGAACGGCCGGGATCGGCCGACTATATCCTATAGCTGCCATATAACTGATTGATCGGAAATGCCATAACTTTCGTGTTTGTAAAGTTAGGAAGTTGGGATTTTCTATGGGTTTTATATTTGGCCAATCAATCCGACCTACCAAATTTCATAAGGATCGGCCGACTATATCCTATAGCTGCCATATAACTGATTGATCGGAAATGCCATAACTTTGGTGTTTGTAAAGTTAGAAAGTTGGGATTTTCTATGGGTTTTATATTTGGCCAATCAATCCGACCTACCAAATTTCATAAGGATCGGCCGACTATATCCTATAGCTGCCATATAACTGATTGATCGGAAATGCCATAACTTTGGTGTTTGTAAAGTTAGAAAGTTGGGATTTTCTATGGGTTTTATATTTGGCCAATCAATCCGACCCACCAAATTTCATAAGGATCGGCCGACTATATCCTATAGCTGCCATATAACTGATTGATCGGAAATGCCATAACTTTGGTGTTTGTTAAGTTAGGAAGTTGGGATTTTCTGTGGGTGTTATATTTGGCCAATAAATCCGACCTACCAAATTTCATAAGAATCGGCGGACTATATCCTATAGCTACCATATAACTGAACAATTGGAAATGCCATAACTTTGTTGTTGTTAAAGCTAGGAAGTTCGGATTTTTTATGAGTATTAAGAGTGCATCATATGAATAATTTTGGAGAATATAATTTACAGAGTATTCTGCAAGGGTATATCAACTTCGGCTCCGCCCGAAGTTAGCTTTCCTTTCTTGTTTAAAATAAAGATACTTAATATTCAACCATTACACATGTTTGATATTTTTTTAAACCTGATATTGCAATACCACGCGTTAAAAATAAAACCTATTTCTAGTTAAGCTTGGAATACTATATAATAAGATAGTCTTAATAGTGATTTTTATATTTTTAAATTGCAAATACCGCCTAGATATTTTCGCGCATCTCTGGCAAATATTCGCATGGAAGTTAAGGCATCATTCCTCCCCGTCCCACCGTATCTCTCCACCTCACCGAATCTCAATCTTTCGGATGCCGAAAAAAGTAGCCAGACGTCTGTCTGCTTGTGTTGGTGGGTATATAGTATCTGTGTCGTCTGGACTTTTATTGTACGGGTGACCTTGAGTTTATGGAAATTGCATAAGTGGGAACAACTTTGTCATATTAAGAAATATGTACTCGACCAACCAGAGCCATAGAAAACCAGAGGCAAGTGATGGTGACATGGACGACCAGACCTTGGCATTGTGTTGAAGGACTCTAAATCAAAATATGCCAGGAAGTAGCTTGAATTATGGGATACGTGGGTATTTCAAATTTATGTGTATTAAGGATATTTATATTTTTTTTTCGAAGTCAACATCCATCTTCCACACCCCGAAACTTTATCGAAAATTCGCTTCCTGGGCCGAAACTTAATAAAATTCCATATGCATGGCATAAACCAAAAATCTCAAAAGCCCTGCCAAATGAATTACAACTTGCGAAAACCAAGCACAGGCAGTGGGAAAGGAAACAAATAATGATCAACCGCACATAATGCATATCCATGGGCATACCGATAACCCTTATCAAGTGTGCGGCATCGCGAAGCCCAAAATACAAATTATGGTTTACAAAAAATAAAAAAGAAACAAACACAGAACAACCCCTCAAAAATCTAACCGCTTTTGTAATACTCTTAACCGAAAATACCGTAATATAAATTAAGATATTTAATGAATTTATATTTCAGAAGTCTTTTAAAAAACGTATAATTTTTTGACAAATTATTTATAAGTTTTAAAAAGTTGAACCCATAGTCTATGCCTTACGGTTCTTTAAATATTGTTTTTTTTTAACAAAGAGGGTATAAAAAGTTACAATTTGTCTGAATATTAATATACATATGTGGTTAAAAGCCTCAGTTTGTGTGCTTGCATTATTCGCCTCTAGTCTTCGAGGGCGAAGTGGGCGTGGCTGTTTAAAGTCGGGTACAACCGCAATAAACACTCACCGCTTTTTACAAAAACTTAGCCCACCTTGAACCTGAGTTTATAAAATTGCAGTCATTTTCGTTTTGCGTTTCTTAGATAAACTCGGCAATTTTTATTAGTTCAAAATAACTGAAATTAGTGGTAACCTTTTATGAAAGGAAAAAGTTGTTGATTTTCACTTTCAACCAAATTACATGATCAGTAAAAGTATGTGTGTTAAAATCAATTAAGACTTTTTTTTTTAAATGGAGTAGGTAAATGTAGGAGATACAAAAACTATAAACTTTATTCATTTTTTCTTTATTATTTCACGTCCTATAATTTCTATTTTTTAAGCAATATCTTTGATTCCTTAAACAAAGTTAGGGCTTACTTTTAAATCACTTATGTGACAAAATTACAAGTAATTGAATAAAAGTAAGGCGTGTCTAAAAGTTTCAAAATTATCGTTTAGAATGACCAGGGGCGCAAGGATATCGAACGGAGCAATCCAGAGGATGCATTATGAAAAGCAACAATCTCGAGAAATAATTGATACGCGTCAAAAGAGGCAAAAAACTCACTCCAGGCCATCAAGGCAACCATTGCAACCAACACAAAACCAAAACCAATATGTGAGCTCCACCAGTTTGAAGTACAAGAGAAGTGCCGTGTCTGAAGAGGATTTCGGTGCCGTGACGCAGAGGGATTATATGGCGGAGAGGCATCACACCGATCGCCAGACCCTCGCCGATATAATCCTGATGCAGGCCCGACGCATCGAGAAACAGCAGCGAGAACTACATCGAATTAAGTCCCACTATGAGCGCCAGGTGTCCACCATCAAGAACAATGCCATCATGCTGGAATCCCATCTGCAGAAGGTGCTGTCCAGTGTCCATCGGGATCGGGCCCAGCGGATAGGCCATCACTACCAGGATATGTTCGGTGCCGTGGAGAACCTGCAAAAGTCCAGCATTAATATTAAACCGCAATCCGTGGCCAACCATCTCCTGATCAAGTATCTCAATTCGCACCCGGCCAGAAGCACTAATGAAAATATAAGTACCTACAGGAATATGTTGTGAATTGTATTCCCGTGTGTACCCTATCTTTTCATTAGTTTTTCTGGTCTCTAATGTATGTCAATAAAATACTCATTTATAGTAATAATATAATTACTTTGCAAATTTGAAGTGGAAATTTAGAAACATTAGTAATTAAGGAAATTTTATAAAAATCTTTTTTTTTGAGTGTATGGGTATTCATTATTGTCATTAAATTATTTTAGGCAAATACATTTATATTCACAATTTAATTTTGATTTTATGAAAACGTATAGGGTGGATTTATTAAATATTGAAATGATAACAAAAACTGGTAAGGAATTTAGGTGTACTTTTAAATAATTGTTTTTTAATAAAGGAACATATTATTTTTTTATTTTTTCTGAAAACTATTTTGACAAGAAAATAATAAAAATGGTTATATTAACATAAAGTTTTAATTTTTTGTTAAATTAAAAGGAGTTTATAGAATTTGGTTGATATTGTTACTCTTTATTGTCAATGCTACTTTTTCCGTTTAGACCTAGGAAAACCGCATCCAATCAAATTCCAAAATATTTAGTATAGAAATTTGGTAGAAAGAGATTTCTGTAGCACCCCAAATATAAATTTCATTATTATAATTGGAGTTATGTAAGTAAGACTGTATTTAAAAGTTATTTGTTTGAAAAAGCATAGCTCAGTCCCCCATCAAAACCCTTCAAAATCAAACCCGTTGTCTGAACTTCCAAAACACAGCAGATCAAACTGTGTGTTTTGGGATGAGTTTATTATTTATTTATTGTCTGGACTGCCAAAATTCGAGGGCTTACCTGTGCGGTAATTAGAGCTGTCAAATTGTGACCTTCCCCGAGCGATTATCCCGATGCCGTACCACGACCGGGCCAAGGCCCGTATGGAGCACGAGGTGACCATCCTTCGGCGCGAGGTGGCCACACTGCGCTCCAAGCAGGAGCAGCGGCGAAGGGCTCGCGAGGAGCAGGTGGCCCTGCAGGCGCGTCTGGAGCAGGAGGTCCAGGTGCTGCAGAACGAGCTGGCCGCCGCTCGGTGCGATCGGGAGGAGCGGGAGTGTGGTGGAGCCGAGCAGTGCTCCCTGCTGACCGAACGGCTGGAGAAGCTGGACGGGCACGTGGTCAAACAGGAGCGCTACATCGCCTTCCTCGAGGAGCAGATCAACCACACGCGCACCAAGTACCAGCAGCGGATGAGCGATGTCCGCCAGAATGCCGAGCTGGTCGAGAAGGAGCTGAAACGGGTGCGCCGTGAGATGAGGACCATTGCCGAGCAGGCCGGCGAGTTGGACCGCCTGCAGAAGGAGCTGGGCTTCCTGAACGGCAAGCTGGACCGCCGGAATGCCATCATCTCCAAGTACGAGGCCCAGCACGAGGAAATGTTGGCCATCGTGGCGGGTCTTCAGAATCAGTTGGTTGAAAAGGAGCGAATCAAGGGCGGCGGAAATGCCAGCCCAGGACACCGTCGGAGAACCCGTGTCCGCAAGGAGAAGGAGATCGCTCCTGATAAACCACCAGTTTTTAAAGATAAACTTAAAGCCGACCCTTCCAAGAGTGACTCGAACAGCTTTGTCTATCTGTCGACGGCACTGAAAAAAAAAGCTGTCAGTAGCTTCATACCGCCGAGTACGTCCTCTAACCAAGGATCTTCACAATAATCCTGTATTTGTACCCTCGCTCGAACCACAATCCAAATTTTAGTTTGGCCCACCTTTGCAGAAAATTTCTTTCGTAATTAAGTTCTTTTGTACCAACAAAACACGTATTTTATTTTTATAAAAAAGTCAATGGGTAAACGAACGAAACGGAACTTCAGTCAGCAATTCTGACTCGATTGGCGGCGGAGTTCCCAGAACTTCCCGCCTTACAAGTTCATTGACAAGCTTGTGGATTATCCATTCAGCAGTCTAGTAAAATCGGGTTATTGATCTGGTTTGATGGATCCGTTTATTTTGATTGTTTTTGAGTGTTAAGCAATTGCTATATTACGTTCCCAAATTAAAATATTGAGGTGGCTTACAAGACCTGATGACGTGATTAATGGAAAAATAACAAGTAAGCAATTATGCAAACAGAAATCAGTTTTATGAGTGTTTACTATTTACTATTCAATATAATTATTAGTAAGTACCAAATATTCATTTTATTATTCTTTTTTTTTATCTCGTAACGAATAGTGGCAAAATAAATGAGTACAAATTTGTTTTTTTAACTTTACTAATCATCCCTTAATTAATTAATTTTCAAACTTATTCACCTATGCCCTTTTTAACCAGTACTGTACAATAAAAAACTGAAAGAAACCATATAGCCAAATGATTGCAAACTTGTTGAGTTTGATTAAGATGGAATGAAAAGTTTGAAATCTAAGTATTTCGGTGTTCTAGGAACATGTTTAAGACAGGTCCTTATTGGCAATAAGAATCTTCGGTTTTAAAAAGCAATTTGTAAATATTTTAGAAGATACTAAATCAAAGGAGGTAGTCAATGCAATTTTAGGATATTTACTAAATGGGATACAAATCTGAATGATATTTGTAGGCAGCACTTTTTATCCAAATGGTAACTCATAACTTTTAAGCATTACTAAAATTATGTTTAACTTTAGACTGATTAAGCATTACCATATGCTTATGTTTAACTTTATACTGATTAAGACTTGTAAATGGATGAGTTATCATTTGAATAGGTAGTGCTGCCATTGTGAGCCCTGTAAGCAAGTCACGTTTGCTGGTTTTTCTAATGCAATATTTCAGCATAGGAGCACGTACCGTCGAATCGCATAAATACTGCAACTGCAACAGCAACCGCTGGGCAATGAGTCAATATGGGATTGCAGAATGGAGCCAGCTGAAGTCGGTCGTCTATTGAATTCTAATGCTGCACCAGGAAGTGCGTGCAGACATTGGGCAATCAGTCGCCGGTCAATTGAAATCGTTTCTGGATAGCAATTGATACTGATTGTATATGGCTTCACCTCCGGCAAGTGGGCCAAAAGTTCAGCTGTTCTTGGGTGACAAAGCCGCAGTCGAAGCACCACTTATTTCGAGTATTTGAGTAGGCTATCTTATCGCAAGACGAGCTGCCATGAATCACAGTCTAATGATGAAATTAACCAATTCTGGGCTAGATTTTTAGCATGTTCCATAGGAGTTTTCGGGGGCAGTCAAACCCGTTCGACTGGCCTTCGAAAACAATTATAATGCGATGGGCGTGATTCTGTGCAAACACCTCCGAAATAAACCAACGACCCTGAGTTTTTAAATCGTTCAAGTACTGGTACCCAAAATATTACACATACACATGTGTATCGCCTGTGACGTCACTGCCTCGAGGGGTGCTCCAAAAAACTTAGGACTGAAACAAGAGGCAAGGTGGCTTGAAGTAGTTATTATTATTAGTCCTTAGCGTTACATTACATTATTGCATTAATTAGACACTAAAATTGATCCAATTACGTGCCCGAAAAACAGCGAAAATTGTTTTTCAGCAGCAGGACCACGAAGAAAATGCCCACGGCAATGGATAAAAGCTGCACGTTGACCACCTTCGAATCGACCAAAGCCTGCAGCATGTTGTAGATACTCTCGCTGCGCACTTCGTTGCCGCAGCAGTCCATTAAGTAACTAATATTGGTTAAAAACTATAAAGATTTATTCTAATTGTTTTGTTTGCGAACAGCTGGTCGAGGGCTAGAGATGGAACTGTCTTTTTCTCAAAAGTCTACCTCTATCGATGTTTTTTCTTCTTCGAGCATCTGGCATCTCTGACCGGGTTGTTGACTTGGCTAACTTTCAACCTCCAAGCCGTTGACTTCTCAAAGCACAACAACTATTTACAATTTACTTGTGAATAATTTAATTACATTATTAAATTGTTTATTAACACTTTATTATAAGAGGCTTCACTACATAATATTACCAAATTTAACCCGATTTTAAAGTGAAATATCTTTTAAAGACTTGTGGTTCGATTCTCTGAAAATCTGCATTCAAATTTTTCATTGTTGCGTTGATCAAAATTTTGACCCATTTTTACGTTATTTATTTCAACGATTATGACAACTTGTAAAAATGTCACCCACAACTGGACTTCCAGAGTCCATAACTTTACCAATCTCTCTAAAAATCTGCATTAATTTCAACCATAACCCATTTTCATTTTAGTTATTTTTATGTTTCCAATGAGTTGTTCAATATTATCTGAAATTTAAGTTTTATTTTTTCCGGAGAGGGCCACGAAAAAACCTGCAATAGAATACAATTTAAGGAAACGCATGAACTAGGCTGATGATCCTGATCTTAGGAAATTTCTTTGCTAGTGATTTCCCTCAGTAAGGTTTTTTCTTTGCGTTGAACGGGAATCCCCCTCGAATAGGTTTAATAGAACATTGGTGGTACACTTTGATAAAGCTTTGGGTGGGAGTAAATCACGTTGGATAACTTGTAGAGTGTAATCTTGGGCTCGAACCAATAAACGTTGGCAACAGCTGATTGTTCAGAAAAACAAATTCAACTATTAAACTAACTAACTATTAAACTGATTGAAATGTTGCAAAAACTTATTTTTGCACCTTTAAGACCTCCTGAACACAAAGCCTGTGTGGTTTAGCCTTCCAGCAAACGAAACACACAACTCTCTTGAACTGTGGGTTTAGTTTTATTAATTAGTTTAACATAACTATTTGCTAGTTGAGGCGATTATTCGTCGTTCGCGTAGTCAGCGGGGTTCTTGCGCAGCAGGGCGGTGTGCTTGCGCTCGGTCAGATCGTAGATCAGGTATCCCAGGATGAAGGCTGCACAAGATGGAAATGATATTATAATGGGGTATTCAGATAGATTAATCTGGGGGCACTTACGGGGGGTTACGATGAAGACGTTGGAGCGGAAACGACGCACCATGTTGGGCAGGCCCTTGCTGATCGCTCCGGCGAAGGCGCGCTGCTCGAAAGGCGACAGTTTGTAGGTGACGATGCCGTGCACCTTGGCCAGGTTGCCAAAGTGCTGGCCATTCAGGATCGAGGATAGACGCATGGTTCAGGGGCTACTGGGGAGAAAAGCACCAATTAGCAACTGCACAGGAAGTGGACCAGGATTTGGATGAAGACACAGATCGTTATTATAAACATTATGGCACTGGCGCAGCAACCCCCGGAGGTTATGTAATTTTCGCACTGCTCCGCGGAAAAAGGCGGCCGAGTACGTCTGACGATGGGCACGATCTCTGCACTTTTGGCAGCCCATAATTGTGCATATTTTTAGAGCCAGCACCTGTCATTGCACGAATTTTGATGCCAAATTTTACCTTGAAATTCGACTTTTACGCTGCAAATTCCTCTTGACTCGTCTCAACCAGTGTGACCGTGGATGGACCGCTTGAATATGCCAAAACGGTAGGCATTATTTTTGAAAATATAACCTAAATTTGCCTCAACCACCAGGTGGTTAACTTGGATGCAAGCTTACTGCAGCCTACAACCGTTTGTAGACTTTTAGCTTGGACTTAGACCGACTTTGGCGAATGTTAAGTAATAATTATTAATCTCTCTTTTAATTTGAATTTTAAAAGTATATTCTTTGACAGACTATATAAATGTGTGCAGTGTGATTATTTTTATATTTTCAAATCGTGTATTTTAATATCTTGTCTTGGTTCTTAATAAAACTCACCGTAGCAGAAACAGGATTTGCAGATTAAATATATTTTTAAAATAACTATAATTTCGTTGAAGAAAGGTATTGATATATAAACACAATATTTTTGAGGTATAATGAAATATTACTAAAATGCCACACGAATATGTAAAATCTGTGGCTACTATTTCTTCTATTTTAACTGATTTTCGGAAAATATCCGTGTTTTTTGAATTTCTAACTTTTTGATAAAAATGTTTGTGTTTATTTTATACATTATAATAATATTTATTTATAATAATATTTATTTATTTTCACATTTCGGTTAAAGACATTCATTGAATAATATATAGTTAGTTTGATTTACTTATCTGGTTTTATTGCTTTATTAATGATTAACATTTGTACAGCTATGAGATGATGCATCTTACAATTTAACAATTATTTGCGTGAGCAGGACTACACAAATAGACAAGATTTCACATTGAAGGCAACTATTGTTGTCGCTCACAAAACGTAGACGAAGGTCCAATACAAGGCGTTGAAGGCCAGGAACATCGTCGGAAAAAGGAATCGGGAGCGCCGATCGATCCACATGGCGATCTCTTGCGGCGTCATGGTGGTGAAGGTGGGCGGCGTGTCCTTTTTATCCTTGTCCACATCCACAATGTGGTCGTTGTTCGTCCGCTCACTGCAAATGGACACGGTGTCAGCGCACTCGGTCTTGATGATGGGTAAATTGGGCTAGAGGTTTGCAAGCGTTCAATTAATACACATATTTGATATGGGAGATATATCTTGAGTACTAACATGAACTGTCAGGTAATTGTTGAAGCCCTGATTTACATTGCCATTTCCATTGCGAACGCTTTCGGTGCTTGAAATTATGTTGTCCAAACTGGAACAGGATCTCGCTCTGGAATCGTTGCTCAGGCTGCCGCCAATCTGACGACGCGAGGGTCGCGGGGTTAAAGTGGACTTTATGATGTACTTGCTGTTGACCTTCTTCAGCTCGATGTTCTCCTTGCGGCGCCAAATCGTGTTAACGAAGGCGAACTCCACCAGGCTGCCGAAGATGAAGAAGGTGCAGCCCAGAAACCACACCTCCGACACCTTTATGTAGCTCACCTTGGGCAGAGTCTTGCTCTGCGATGAGGAAAGTGTGATAAACGACAACATGGTGCTGGTTCCTGGTAAGGAAAAATTATGGAAAAATGTAATAAATACAGCGTATATCCGTATGGTTAGTATATAAATGGAATCTATAGGATATAGTCAAGCGATTTTGATCAAATCTAAAGGGATAGGTTCTAAACACTAAAACGCCTCATTATGTTTTCAAACTTGATCTGCGTACACATAAAAAAATACGAATGCGAAAGTTTCAAATCTCTAACTTAAATGGAGATTGAAAACGGTATGGAAACAGACGGACATGACAAACATATATATCAAGAATATTTATATATACATTGTAAGGTCGGAAATGTATCCTTCACTGCGTTACAAACTTCTGACTTTTATTACACTCTCTGCAGTGGTGTAATAAAAATCCTTCCTTAAGAAGTTAAATTTAAATTATGTTATAATAATTTTAGCCCGCATACCCAACATAATCCGCGGAGGAGAGGCATCCGCTTGCAGCCAAAAGGACACCCAGGAGATGGCCACGATCATCATGGAAGGCACATAGTAGTCCAGCAGATAGAAGCCGATTTCGCGCTTCAGATTGACCGTGAAGCTCAGCGAACTGTAGTTACCAGCTGTAAGATATCGAATTTTTAGAACAAGTCCTTAAACAAGCATCCTTTTATCCGCTTACTGAAGGCTCCATGGCGCAGATTGACCCCGTCCGACTCCACCACAGTGGTGTTGTGCCAGTATTTGGCCATGTTGTACTCCGTCAATCTCATTTCCGGATCGAAGGATATGGGATTGTAGTTCTCCCAATTCAATACCAAGTCCGAGGTGTTGTACATCCCTGGCAGAAACAGAGAGTGTTATTAAAGTTCAAGAATCAATATAAAATTAGCATACAGCTCTCCAGGACCGTGGAGCAGAACTGCTGATCGAAGGGGAACTTCTTGAAGTTCATCCAGCAGTAGAGAGTGGCCTGCATGCGGGTGGAGATAATCACGTTGCCCTCGGGAGACAGGGAAGTCAGGACGTCCTTCTCATCCGTTCCCAGAATGCTGGACTCTCGTTCGTTGGCGAAGAAGATGTGCGGCAGCCAGAGACGTTCGCTCAGGTGCTTCTGTCCCAGGATGTTTTCCAGGCGTCCATCCCGGAAATCCTTGAAGGCCAGACGTTTGTCCTGGAATCGCAACTGCAAGAGGGCGTGCATCTTGAATTGCAGCAGGTCGGAATTGAGGTTCTGCAGGAAGTACACATAGATTCGCGCTGTCACCACGATGGGCAATCGTTCTGAAGTCACAGGGTCGTAAGCTGTGGCGAGAAATATGAGTTAAACTAAGTACATAACTTTTTCTTACTATAAATGCCTACTTATTGGCCTCTCAAGCCGGTCATAACGGCACACATGGGTTAATCTTTGGATAAGTTGGGATTGTTGCAGGTTCGTATTCACCAAAGGAGGACATTCCTCATCATCGTCTGTGTCGTTAGCGGCTCTAAAAATATTTGAAACAAAATTCAGTAATATTAACAAAATAATAACAAAAAGATTTTTTTGGATGTCTATTTTATTTTATTTAAAACTATTTAGTAGAGAAAATAATAAATAAATGCACGCATGTTACACTAGTTAGATACAAATGGCCATATTGAATATATACATATTGAAAATTAAACAACTTGACATACTTGTATTAGTATTTTTTTCCCTTGATAATACATTTTATATTTTTAAAATGCCAGTTTTTTGTTGAGCTCCCACAAAAAATAGTAAACTGTTAATCTTTGTAGTTTCCAACAAAAACTAGAAACCATAAGTTAAGTGCATATATAATTTTAACAAATGAAATTATGAAATATACTATAAATTATTTAAGTAATAAACTGTACTCTGACGATGAGAAATGCTTATGAAGTAACACAAGTATAGTTCTTGTAAAGCCTATTGATGACTTAACTGATGATACGTTTATCATTATTTATATATATATACCGCATATACTTAAATACATTTAAAACCGGCTCAAAAGCCATCTAATAATAATCTACAAAACATCATTGAACGCTATTTAATATTTGAGCGTTAATTTCTGTTAACGTTTTAAAAGTAAAAGAGTTTATGGTCTCATTTCCAGATCACATTAAAGATGCTTTTCTTGCGTTTCAACTTTTTTTATAGGGGAGCCAGCCTGACTGAGCACTGAGCAGCTGAGCAGCTGTGCAAGCTCATTTGCTGCTACCTTAAAATGTCAAAAAATAAATAATAGCAAAATATTTGTCTTGTCGTCGTCTGCCTCTCATTATTTAACTTCAATTTTATTTCTATATTTTCTTCGTACTTGTTTGCTTGCGCAACAACAAAAAATATTTAATTCAATTAATCGAGATGACCTGGTTCCAACAGGAAATTCATTATAGCCCTATTGATATAGACTTAGATCTTGAACTTATCCGATAAGAAAATTTCACTGCTCTGCGACCTTTTTCACACATCAAAGACAAAATGCCGACTGTAAATAATTTTCGGTGCTTGTTTTGCGCATTCGAGAAAACTTTAATTAAATTCTAATCTGAGGATTTATTTACGCATATTGTTTGAGATTTATCAGGGGGTTTTGGCGGAACCCCCAAAGCGCAAATCTTAAAAACCAACATATTCTAAGTAGAATAACTTTTGAAGCCGATAAGAAGGTATGGAAAAAGCTACGCATGTGAAATTTCCCAGGGACAGGAAATGTTTGTAAACAAAGTAACCGATGTCTTTTATGCGTAACTCTTAACTCTCTTATCAGGTTTCATGTAAACATTTTCATTTGAACATATTTTGGTTTCATTATCAGGCAAACTATTTCAAGTACCCTTATCAAGGTTTTCAAGAGGGGAATTTTCGACAAAACTTATTTATTCTATTTCGCTATATCTATTCTGATCTTCAGGTGCCTTTATTATTGTCATTGGATTTTAGTTGAATTGACATAATAAATAAAGGAAATAGAGTAGACAATGATTTGTCTAATATTGACTGTTGTCATCTTTTAGAGAGGTGCAACGTTCGATAAATATTTGGAAAGTTACTTGGGTTTTTCCAATGGCAAAACAGACTGCTAAATATAGACATTTCTGCCAAAATGTATCTTTATCAGTTCACTGCTGGAGGTACACAGACATGTTCATTTGAATGATTGATCAGAAGTTTTCTGTGCTGGCAATATCTAGTTAAAACTCACCCCATTGAAGCCCGGATGCTGCAGCTGAAGATCAGCGTAATCCACAAGATTTGGCTCAGGTTCAGGTTCATCATATTGCAGGGGTTTTAATTTAATTAATATGATTTTTAATTTTTTTTTTAATTTGAAGCAGGTATGCAACTATTCCTTTTGGTGGCCGTAAGCAAAGTGATTCGATTGCGTTGGCTTGTCAAATTATATGCTCATGTTTCACACGATCTCCTCGCACATTCACTTCACACATTCACTTTGCAATTAATGCAAATCCCAGTCGTATGGTGATTTTATTTTTTATTTACGAATTTCCCACAGCTCTCTCGAGGACGAGTGCCTGTCGCTCCGGTCTCCAGTCGTCGGAGGTTTGAGATCGCGCCGCGTTCGCTTCGCCAGAAATACAGAAAAGCCCGGAGAACCAGGTGCTGCTCTGCCTCTGCTGCCGTCGACGCCGACGACCCAAAGCACACTGCGTTGTAGGCGGAATAGCCCTCGGCTTTTTTTCGGGCCTGATAAGACCAGGTAATACGAACGATGCTTGGGGTTACGTTGCTCTCAGCCCAAACTTCAACTCCCCACCGAACCACTCAACAACAACAGCAACAGCAGCAGCAGTAGATATTGTTAGCTGGTCAAGAGCTGGAAGGCAATAGCGCAGGGTCGATTGGGGATCGCCTCACTTATAAGCATTCTATAGACCATATACTAGATATTCTCACCCGCGTGCGTTTGCCACTCGGAGAAAAAAGTAGCAACAGAAGTGATTATTAATTATTAGACGCCTTTTTTAAAGTGCTAAAAATATATTTTTAACCAGCATTCTGGTTTCAAAGATACACTACTTTCAAAGAAGGTATTTGCTATTATAGCCTATAAGAATCTTTAAATAATACCATTTAATATAGTAACTTTTTGTGAGACCAACAGTATCTTAATAGTAATGAGATATTTGGTAAATGTATACTATAAGAAAAATATATTATACAATAATAATAATACATTTTTAAACAATACCATTTTATACACTTCCTATAGTTAATGGGAAGTCTACGAAATGGTATTATTTAAACTATCCGTAACTATTGATAAAGATTATTTATTTATGATTCCTAGGGGCTTTTTATGTTTTATAAGGGGGTACTTTTCTTTACACGAAATTATCTTAGTAATGGCATGATATAAGATCGAATGTTATCTAATTTAAAGATTAATATTTGGGTGTAAGATCGAGATTACAGGAAATGGAAAGTAAGGGCATATAAATATATTTGTCGTATATAGAATAAATTAAATGCTTTAAGGATTCTAATTGGGTTACTTTATTATCATTCATCTAATTTTCTGGTAATGCGAAATTATGTTTTTCGCGGTGCAAAAATCGGAAGCATTTCAATTGCGTCTGTCAGCAAACCGGTATCGAAGTCGTTCTGGAAAATGCACCGCATCGGAATTAATAATCGTAACATTTATGAAGGCGCTGCCACTCGGACTAGAGGCAGCCGCATTTCTTGTCTTGAATCCAGGCATTAGCATACACATCTCGGAGTGTGTAACGAGTGGATGAGAAGTCATACGGCTTAGCTGTTTGCCCAAGTGTCCAACCACCCGCGCTTCTAATTAAGCCTGTAATGTTTGCGCACGCTCTTGAAATTATTTGCGTTCCGCTCCATCCGTAGATGATCGAATTGGAAGTTGAATCTAACTCAGAGTACTTGAGTGCTGCAGGTTCAACAAACCCCCCATTGTCCCCAAAACAACCGACAACTATTCAATTCTTATCAGCCGAATGTGCGATCCTCCTGGTTGAACGATCGGGCCAAGGGATTATGCTCTGAGGTCGGAATGAACAGCCTCCACACCCTAACGCCCCATAATATCGTTAATAATAATGAGGTTGACGAAGGCAAAGGCGAAGCTAAAGCCGCGACGTGACACAGAATTGAGAGTGTGACAATAATTGAATATATGACAAATGGCCAATAGCGGAATGAGTTAATATCGTTTTGTCAAACACAATTAGTTGGCCCGGCAGACAGTAGTCTGAAACTTGAGTGGCTCGTGATTGTCGCTGGTTATGTTTGAATGATTTATTCGCTATTCGCTGTTTGCCGGAGGACTGATCTACGATCAGCCAGACAATTTGAGTGGTAAGCACGAGTGGCTTACAAGGGAGTACAAATTTTATTTGATTTTCTACCCCGCAGCGGAGGCTGTAAAATTTGTTTTCATCTTGCTAAATGATTTAATTTAGCAGCGGGGTTGTGTGAGATAATAATTCGTGTTTTAGAATACGGGTGAATTTAAATATGTAATGTGGGAAATACAATTTGTAGGCAATTTTATTTAAATTATTTAAAGCTAGTGCTTAACTTAAGAATTTACGTAAATGTTATACTTTTTTTTCTAAAAGCGTTCAATAAATATTTAAGTTAATGATAATTTGTTTTTGACTATTTGGTTATAAATCATTGCCATTCAATTTTATTTTTGTAAATATTTTCTAAATTTATCAAATGTAAGGTCTAAAACTGTTTTTTCCCTTTCATGGTTTTAAAAATTATTCTGCTGTAGCTGAAATTCACCTGCGTCAATTCCTCGTCGGACTTCTCTCAATTTCTCACCTCTTATCGGGGTTATTTTAGGAACTTTAATTAAATGAAATGCTCGTGGCTGAGCAAATTTGATCTGTGAATATTTAACAAGAAGGCTTATTTAATTAATGTTCGCATTGCCAAGGCAAACAGGCACTTGCGTTCTATTCAGCCAATTTGCCGAAGAAAAACAGAACTCGGCCTTTGCTTATCGCGTTGTATTCGGGCGGGTATCTCCATATTCCCTGGCCCATTTGGGCCTGTTTACCGGAGTCATTGCCACGGCCCGATCCGCGACGTGGTCGGAACCGGAGGAGAAGGTGTTGCTTGCTTTTAAAGGTTATATTGATATTTGCACCGATTTTATGGGTCGCTGGCAATGTGATTTCGTGTTTGCCCACAAATATTGGCCATCCAAGTGCGGCAATGGAGTCCTGGTTAGCACGTGATGGCGTGATCCGGTTCGATCTTTGAGGTTCCTTGAGATCTCCGATCTCTGGCCTTATCTCACCGGCAGATGAGTCACCCAAAAGTGTCGCTGGGGGGCTGAGGTGGTGACTTCTTTATCTCAAAAGACAACATCTGCCTCCTGGCAGGCAGTAGACAGTTGCTTGTGTTTGGGTCGTCACAGCCAATAAACAAGCGAAAAGTTTAATTAATTAAAAACATGGAGGAGGGCCTATGTAAATAGAAGCCAGCGTCAGGGGCACTGTTCAAATATCATAAATAGAATGGCAAATAATCAAATAATCGAAATTAAAAACGTGTAGTATTACCGCGGAGATAATCAGGGTACAGTCGAAGTCTCAAGTGGGTGGCTAAATTTAAAGCGATGACAGCTGAACGAGCTGAGATGGTCAGGCAGGTTATATCTCTTGGTACTTTTCACTGGGTTTTTAATAATATTTGGCCGGGCTCTATCTTACTCCTGGTAGCCAAAATGAGGCACTAAAACGTTATCAGTTGGCGGCGTACGTTCGCCTTCAGTGACGTCTTTTGAATTCTATTTGCTGCAACTCAGTAAATTAATGTTTAATATTTGCTCTTGCCACCGGGGCGTATGCGTGATGTACTGTCATAGCGGAAGCTGCTGTAAAATGCCAACCATCAAGTGCTGAGTCAGTAAAAGTCATTGCAACGCTGGCAGAGGGTTTTATCAACGATCTGTTTACCAAGAATCAGCCATCTTTCTATAGTAATTGCCAATCTTGAACATCGCATTGTTTACAGCAATAATTTCATGTTATCAGAGACAAGACGAAAAGTACAAGCGAAATCGAAAACAGTTCACCTGCTTGCCACACTCCATCAAAAGCGTCGTGTGTGGCACAATATTGGGATCCCATCATTGTGACAGGCTGCTGCTGAGTTTTTTAGCTGGCCAAATATGAGATCTAAAACTGACACAAAAACCCGGAGTGGAATAATAAATCAGTTTCCTACTTTTTTCGCTCTGTTTGGGGATGTACTATGACAGCCGTCTTACGTGAAAACGAAAAGATCTAAATAAATGAACAGAGCAAAAAGCAAGTATGTTATATATAGAAGCACATTTCGTTGAAATAATAGAGTACTTCTCTAGACAGTTATTTCAACTACACTAATTTTTTTGGAAATAACTGTGGCTAAAATAAGTCATTTTGCTTGGCAAATATGAAATTTTCAACAATTTTGATTGGCTTGTACAAAAAAAAAAAAAATTGAAGTCTGTATTTTTTTTTATATATATTACAAAGCCATTATCGTTTAATATAATAAAAAGGATGTATCCTATATCAAAAACTAGATGAATAAACTCTTTTGATAACTGACAATTCATTATTAGGAAGATATACTTTGTTGTTCTTCATCAAAAAAATATTCCCTTACTATTTATGTCAATATGTGGTTTTTGATAAAAGTTGATAAGACATATTAAACAGTGAATAAAGTTTCAAGATATTAATTTTTGGGGTAAATTTTCGCCAGTGAAGATGCATTTTAAAACAATAATTGTTTTCCGTGTACACAAATGAATTCATCAAAGTTTTTAGGGCGATCTTACCGCTTACCACGTAAATATGTTTATTTCTAAACTGGAAGTTCCAGTTCGATGCGTTTCAGTACGTCGAGAACAGATCTATAGTCGCTGATCCGCTGGGGTGCGGATTGGGGAGTAACGACACATTACAACGACATTATTCAATAGGCTAACTATGAGCTAACACGAAAACAGCCTGCCATTGAAGAGCAGTTGGTTAAGTTACTTCGCCGCACTGGACTCCTGTTCGCCGGTGATCGCTGGGGATTTGGCAAAGTCCTGGAACGTGTCCTTGACCTTCTTGAGACCCCGGCCCGCGTAGCAGGGCAGCATGTGGATGAAGCGGAAGCTGTTCTTCACGCCCTCGTTGTAGTAGTGCTTGGCCAGGAAGCGCATCTCGCCGGTTCTGGGCAACTCGGGCACCTCGAATGGCAGCTGCTTCTCCAACTTCTGGACATACGGACACAGCGCCGCCTTCACGTTGTTGTAGAGCTTGTCCGTCTGGTCCGTATCCCCCCAGATGCCCACCTTGCGTGTGTAGTAGACGGTTCCGGCCAGCAGACCGCTGCGCACCAATAATCTGAAGAGGATCCCAAGAGTACCATTTAGTCTTACGTAAGTCTCAAACAAACAAGTCGCCACTCACCCAACAACCATGTTGATTCGTTTGTTTAAGGGAAGATAAAGTTACGGTCACTTGGGGGCTTCAATTGTATCCAAACAATGGTAGTCTGGTCGTTTTCTTTCAGAATTTTTGGAAAATTTCTTGTTTTTTACTTCATATTATTGTCAGAGTGACCGTGGTCTGGTAATCGTTAAAATATGGAAAAGCAGTGCTACCTTTTTACCGGGGTCTTAAACCATCGACCACAATACCTTAGACTCGAACCGCAATGTACCTACTCGCCGTGTACCTTCTTTTTATACAAGGTGTACCGCATATTGAATTCAGCGGAACCTCACAGACTTAGCCTGGCGACGTTGTAAAATTGAAAATTGGGGAAAACCCGCGAGCTTATGGCAGCAGTTTAAACTCTTCGACTGAAAAAATTAACTTCAACTGATATCAACAGGGATATCGAGGGATATAAAGGCACTATGGTAGGCAAAAAAAATCGAGATAAAAAAACCCAAATTTAAATTTTTAATTCGTTAAAACAAATTCCAATCGATTAAAAGCTGAAAACCAATGTTTGTCTAAGTGAGAACAGAAAACCCTTAAATTTCCCCGGAAAATAATGGTAAAAAGTTTGAGTGTCATAACTCGTTGAATTTATTATGAAATTTTCAATCGATTGGCATTATCATCAGAAAATATTTAATTTTTGTGAAATTATCGCTCAAAATTATTTATAACAAGAAAGGAAAGCTAACTTCGGGCGGAGCCGAAGTTGAAATACCCTTGCAGAATATTCTGCAAATTATATTCTCCAAAATTATTCATATGATGCATTCTTAATACTAATAAAAAATCCCAACTTTAAAAACACCAAAGTTATGGCATTTCAAATCGTTCAGTTATATGGCAGCTATAGAATATAGTCGGCCAATCCTTATGAAATTTGGTAGGTCGGATTAATTGGCCAAATATAAAACCCATAGAAAGTCCCAACTTCCTAACTTAACAAACAGCAGAGTTATGGCATTTCCGATTAATCAGTTATATGGCAGCTATAGGATAAGTCAAGCCGATCCCGGCCGTTCCGACTTATATACTGTGCAAAGGAAAGAAGGGTGTGTGCAAAGTTTGAATTCGATATCTTTAAAACTGAGAGACTAGTTCGCGTAGAAACAGACAGACGGACAGACAGACGGACAGACGGACATGGCTATATCAACTCAGGAGGTGATCCTGATCAAGAATATATATACTTTATAGGGTCGGAGATGTCTCCTTCACTGCGTTGCACACTTTTGACCAAAATTATAATACCCTCTGCAAGGGTATAATGATGTAACCCATTATAATAAATGTTCAAATCGATCAAAAAACAAATTTATCCAAATCAACCTGAAATTGATAGTTTAGATCCTTAGCTGCACAAACCATTCATTCTTTTGGCTGTATATCTTATTTTGGGTAGTTAAAACAAACAATCTTTATTAATGACAGCGAGCCTTGCGCCTACATATTATTATTTCAGTATTTTGTTAATTATTATTTTGAGACACCGCTTGTTTTAATTGTGGCTAATTTTTTACCAAATAAGTTATAAAATAATTTAAAGCCTAAACCAACTAACCACCTCAAAAAAGACATTTTACTTAAAGAAGTAATTTTTTAAATAAGTAAATACAATTAATTTAAGGATGTCCAAAGGGCCTCCCTTGTGGAAACTTTGGTGGAATGCCCAGAACGGTAGTGGGGGCTCCCCTGATTAACTTCATAAAGTACTGCAGTTTTTTGTTTAACTAATCACTGAAGCGGTCCGTTCTTGTTACCGGCTTATCCAAGAAGGCTTCCGCCTTTGTTCCCACTGAAATCTCATTTATTTAACCAGTCGCAGGAAAACAAGGAGCGCAAGGAGGGAAAGGACCCAACTACTGGTACTGGTACTGGTACCCCTATGCAACATTTTCATTCTCCCTTAGCCTTTGTTCCAATTTTGCGACAGTCGCTGCAGTTAAGAGGATTATTGCCTGGCGAACAAAGAAGGAATTGCCGGGGTTTGTGCCAATTTATTGAAAAATCCCGATTTCTAATCGAGTGAGAATTTTAACGGGCTTCCTTTTTTTTACAGTTTTGCCATTTTTTTCGGGTGCCCTTATTGTTGTTTTTCAACCAATTTCGCGCCGCTTGTCGTCCTTGTGCACGTTCCAGGTCGGACGACATTGACCCACGTGTCATCCGGGGTTGGCTTCGCTTATTAATGGGCTCAGTTAATGTGTCGCACAACCCCTTCGTGCACCCGAAAATTTAATTTCCCCCTCCCCATCTCCTTTGTTTTTTTTTTTGGGTTAAAAAATTGGCAAGACTTTTTACGCGAAAAAAAATGAGAAAATGTAATTTATTAATTTCGCATGGCCTGTGACAGTTGGTTGCATTCGACTGATCCTTTATTTACACAATGACCCTTTTTACCCCCGGCGACCCATTGGGATTTTTATGCGGAAAATGTCAAGAAAATTTCTGTTGCAAAATTCGCATTATCCATAGAAAATTGCAACTTTACAATGGGCAAGGGTTCGGGGCAGAGCACTTACCCCTTACCCTATACCCTGTAGCCTATAGCCTATAGCCCCTAACCCCTTTCAGTGTCATGAAGGGATTTCACATTCAGTGCGCTTCATTTGCGCTCAAAAGTAATTCGGTGGTGACCCCTTTAGTTTTGGGCTAAATTTTACACATTTTCCAAAAACTGTCCAACCGGGCAACCCTTTCCATGTGCAACAATGCACGGAATTGTAAACTCTAATGAAATTTATGTCGATTCCTTTGACAACTTTTGGGGGGCACCATCCGCTTCGCACGCGTGTGGATTTCACATTTCACATATTCGACAAGCAGCTGCCACGATTCCAGAATTCGTAGGGTCCAAATGGTTTTAAACACCCCAACCCAAACTACCCGTGCCGCAAACACGAATACAAACACATACTCGCCAGTATCTTACGCTTTTTTATGGATCTTGTTTACTTATTCGATTTTGATACTATTGGCGCACGCGTCTGTGTTTGCCCACGGCTTAGGGGCCGCAGCCGTGTTTTTTTCCCGGGGTGTTAAAGATAAGGAAACTCTCGGGGTTTTTTTGTGTAAAAACTGACTTTTTCAGGCGCCGAGTGTGAGTCTGGGTTGAATTTAGGGTTTTTAAATCAAGACACGCGTCGCTTGGAAGTGTGTAATGTCTTTACATGCTGGCCACTTCTCGCGGGCTAAGTGTTTCCTTTTTTGTGACTTATCGGAGATTATAGGGACAGTTGGGAAAAATACAGCAATAAATTGGGTCTAATTAAGAATTTGTAATAATTAAAACTGCGAGTTTGTGAAAGTACTTCTTTGGGCATCACAAGATTCTGGATTGAATTTCAAGGCTTTTATGGTCCCAAGAAATTGACGTTTGTTTTGAGATAGGACTGATCAAGAATATATATTAACATGGTCGAAAACGTTTCCTTCTACCTGTTTTTTACACTAGCACTAATATAATGTATTTATAGTTCTCTTGGTTTTGCCACGAAACCCGAAATATTTCTTTCAGGTTGATTCTCTACGATTTACTTGTTACAAATAAATTTAATGGTTTTCATAAAGTTCCTATATATTTACAAACCGTTTCCTTAAAAAGAGTATTTTAACAAAGTTGTAATTGTGCATATACATTTGTGTAATGTGACCTCCAAAATAATCTGTTTAAATCCCTTTCATAATTTATACAAATATAATTTCTTTATGTTTTCTTTCTGTCCTATGATCAAAACCAGTCGATTGAAAAGAGGCTCAAGGAGAATTAAGGGAATTATTACCGGCACTTATCTTATCTTCGGCTCTGCAGTTATTGATGTGTTTCTGCTACTTCTAGACCATTTTCTGAGTTTCTGTTCTCGAACATTTTGTGAGATAAAAGTATAAAAGTCATTGGTTTTTTGGGCGAGGGGTTGAGTCGGTTGGCTGCTTTATTTTTTTGCCCTTCCCTTTTCACTTGAATAATGCAAACTCTTCCTTGGGACACACTTTCAAAGTCTGACCACACACACACACTGACCGCCATTTCCCCGCGCTTTTCCCTTTCCCTTTCTATTTCCATTTCCACTTCCATTTCCTTTAAGCAGCTTACGCACTCAGCAAGCGGTTGTGTGTGTGCGTGTGATAGTGCATAAAATTTATTGGCGCTTTGGGGGGGAGGGGGGCTGGAAAACATGGTTTTTCGAAGGAATAGGTTAAGGGGGGAAATGGGGAGAGGGGAAATGTCCACTTTCACTTCTGTCTGCGACTGGCAGTTTTCCTTGTTGTGGACAAGGCTTTTATAATTTTATGCCATTTCTTTCAATATTTATTTTGTTATTATGTTTTTGTAATGAGCTCAAGTTGTTGTTGCCGCTCTTGTTGTCAACAGGATAGGCAACAACAACGGCAAAAACAACAAGAAAATTGTTAGAGGATGGCGTTGAAATTGGAAAAATTGTATCAATAGACCGCCGTCCCTGTCTGTGTGTATCGGTTGTGGTGTGAGTGCGTATTGCCATGGAAAATACCGCCTAGCACATAAATTAATTAATTTTGTTTTTGCCTCTTTTTTTGTTTGTTGTGTCCTAGAACGCGGGGCGGGGGGTGGTTGGTCTGTAGGCCCATCGAAATTTTGTTTAATGCGTAGTCCATAATATTGAATTACACGGAAAAAACTGCGAGCTAAAATAAAAACTGAAGATAGATTTTCAATAAGATGTGCGAAAAAGCACTAGAGTTACAAATGTAAACGAAACTAGAAATTGCAAAATATTAGATACATACATATATCAAAACCTTTTCCCAAAACCACATTTTATATTATTAATTTGGTTTTGAAGTATAATTAATTATTTTTACATACCATCATTTTTGCATTGAAGTATTTGCGAACACCGCAGAAAATAATTTAAAATTTTATTCATATATTTTATTATTGAATTTTTTATTTGTTTTTTTCTATTAATAGGTACAATTAATAATTTAATATTACCCATGCATGTATTATAATTTCCTTTGGCACGTCTAAACGTATATTTCCTTATATATATTTTTCCTGTGTAGTTATATTTCTCTTCTCCTTTATCGCCCCATCTCGTGTGTATTTTTTTCTGTAGTTGGCAAAGTCTAAAGTTACGTTCGTCTCTATT